CTTTCTTTCTTTCTTTCTTTCTTTCTTTCTTTCTTTCTTTCTTTCTTGCTGTCTTTCTTCCTTTCTTCCTTCCTTTCTTTCTTCCTTTCTTTCTTTTTTGAATCACAACATTTAGAGCTACAAGGGATTTCAGATACAAAACTGGAAGGGACCTTAGAGGTCATCTAGTCTGCCTTCTTATTTGCTAACTGAGGACATTTAGGTCCAGGGAGGTTGTGATTTGCCCACCATTATACAGAGGCAGGATTTGAACCCGGCTCTTTTGACTCCAGGATCAGTGTTTTCCCCACCATCCCACACTGCCTCCTTCTGAAGTCTTTTCATCCAGCCACCTTGTTTTGAAGATGAGGAACCTGAAGCCCATAGGGGGAAGTGACTTGCTTAATGTTGCCCAGATGGTAAATTGCAAAATTGGGATTGGAGTCCAGGTCCTCTGATTACAAATCTAGGGTTCTTCCCACTGCCTGAAGCAATGCATCACAGAGAGCCCTCTGCTGCCTTAGGAATCCTAGAGTTCCCAGAGATGGGTCAGCAGCAACATGTCAGGGCTCTCAGGAAGGTGATGATGGCTAAGGATTCCTAAGGAGGACCACTGGAGCTGGGCATATTCATCAAAATGCTTATCAGAGCACCTCCACCTTGTCCTTGTGCCTAATCTGTCTAACAAAGACCAAGCATTGGAGAAAGACAGGGAATGTATACATCTTTTAGCCTTCTGAAATATTGACATAAAAAATGGAAGAGGGAATTTGATGCTGCCTTTGTATCCAGAAGACCTGGGCTCTACACTTACTAAAATCCCACCTTCTACCTGAAACCTGTCCCAGTCTCTCTTTTCCTAGTGCCTTCCCTATGTTGATTATTTCCAATCTATCCCGTATATAGCTTGTTTGCATATAGTTGCTTGAAAGTTGTCTCACTTATTAGACTATGATGTCCTCAAGGGCAGAGAATATCTTTTTTAAAAATACTATTTGAAAAAAACAAATAAAAATAATATTTTATTTTTCCCCAATTACATGCTAACACAATTTTAAACATCAATTTCTTTATAAGATTTTGAGTTCCAAATTTTCTCTCTCCCTCCCTTACCCCCCAAGACAGTAAGCAATTTGACAAAAGTTATACATGTTCAATCATGCAACACATATTACCATATTAGTCATGATGTGGAAGAAGACACAGACCCAAAGGGGAAAAAAAACATGAAAAAATACAGAAAGTGAGAAGTAGTATGCTTTGATATACATTCAGACTCCATCAGTTCTTTCTCTGAAGGTGGAAAACATTTTTCATCACGAGTCCTTTGGAATTGTCTTGGATCATTTCATTGCTAAGAATAGCTAAGTCATTCACAGCTGATCATGGTACAGTATTACTGTTACTATGTACAATGTTCTCCTGGTTCTTACTTCACTTTGTATCAGTTCATATAAGTCTTTCCAGGTTTTTCTGAAATTCTCCTGTTCATCATTTCTCACAGCACAATAACCCAGGGAATATCTTTTGCCTTTCTTTGTATCCACAGTGCCTGACACATAAACAGGCACTTAATAAATGCTAACTGTCTGATTGAATGTTATCCATATGACCTTGGAAAAGATACTTATTCTCACTGGGCCTCAGTTTCCTGATCTGTAAAATGAGGGGATGAGACTGTCAGATCTCTAAGACTCCTTCTTGTTCTAAGTCTATGATTCTAGGACATGAGATTCGGAAAAAAAGGACATTTTGTGCAAAGAAGGCCTCTTTCCTCTCCCCCAGGTCCAATGCACCCTGACTCTCTAGATTTCCATAAGGCTCTCAATTTCTTTTCCGAATCTCTCAGCCACAAAACACTCTGGGACCCACAGAGACTTAACTGTCAGAGTATGTTAACAGTCCTAGCCTTCTACTCTCCCAAAAGCCATTGTTTTCAAAATAAGCCAACTCATCTGACTGAGAATAAGTAGAATATTGAATTGGAAAGAGTATTGCATTAGTCGTAAAAGCCACTTTGCCTCTTGTCTCTCAGTTTCTTCATCTCTAAAATGAGAGATAGGAGTGCTATGGTCTCTCCCAGTTTTCAGAGTCTAAGACCACAGTCAACATAGTAGAAAGATCTGGAGGCATTGGGAGACATGCATGGGTTTTAACACAGGCTGTGTCCCAAACTAGCAATGTGATCCAGTCCATCTAGGCTTCTAGTTCTTCATCTGCAAAATGGAGATCGGATGGTCCTCATTTGTATTATTTAGGTGAAAGACTCTTCCAGGTCTAACTTTCTATGAGTCTAAGATGAATCATATTCAATGAAATATGAATAGTTCTCTCTTGGCCTTTCTTTTTCTTTCCAAAGAATGGGCTACCTTTGGGTATACATGCATTAAAGTGTTTCATTGAAATGTCATTGGACATGTGAGTAAAAATCTTCCTTGGCCTCTCCTATTTTAAACAAAATGCAACATTTTAGATGTAATTCAGCAAGTGCATGAGTGTTTTGTTTCCTAATTTGAACCTCATATTACAAAATAATGTCTGTTAATTTTTATATACCACAAAAACACACAGCCTTTAAGGCAATGGGGCCAAAGTCCTGCTTGTCTATCTGTAATTGTATTGAACATATATTGAGGGCCTACTATGTGCCAAGCAATATTCTGAGGACCTTAGAAAATACAAACATAAAGAAAACAGGACTCCTGTCCTTCTGGAGCTTTTGTGTATATATTAATTACAGAAACTGACTCTTGAGTCCTGTAGCTTCTACGAAGTTGCTGTGTATCCTGAGCAAGTCAGGTAAGGCCAAAGGACATTTGTATTCTGCTTGAACACAGGGATTGTCACTGGGGCTTTCGTCAGTATAGTGAACTCCTTGATGCAGAGACTCACACTGATGTAGGTTAGTATCTTCTCCTAACTTTATCATTCTAAAAGTTGCCTAGAACTCTTTTTTTTTTCACCTTTTTTTTGGAGGCAATTGGGGTTGAGTAGGTAAGTTTACCTAGGGTCACACAGCTAGTAAGAGTCTAAGGCCAGATCTGAATTCAGGTTCTCCTGACTCTAGGGCTGTGGCACCACCTAGCTGCCCTTAAATTGCCTAGAACTCTTTTTTTTTTTTTTAAGCAATTGGGGTTAAGTGACTTGCCCAGGGTCACACAGCTAGTAAGTATCAAGTGTTTGGTCTGAGGCAGAATTTAAACTCAGGTCCTCCTGACTTCAGGGCTGGTGCCGCATCCACTGTGCCATCTAGCTGCCCCTAGAACTGTTAAAAGGTTAAATGACTTTCCCAGGGTCATGTAACCAGTATGTGTCAGAGGCAGAACTTGAACCCACATCTTTCTGGCTCTCAGACAGCTCTCTATGCACTAAGCCACAGTTCCTCTCACCTTGATGGTTTGTTGCTTACATTGTCACATTTGATCCACAAGACAACCTCACAGAAGCAGGTAGCATAATTTTGTTATTTCCATTTTATAGTCCCAAATTACACAGCTAGGGAATAAGTGGCAGAAATGGAAAGTAAATCCAGGTCCTCTAACCCCAAATCTAGTTCTCTGTTTTATGCTACCACACCGCTTCCTTATATCCAGCTTTGCTTTCTTGGGGCCTTTGTTTGCCCAGCTATAAAATGAGGACATCGGACCACATGATGTATAAGGTTTCTTCATTCCAGCATTTTCTGTGATCCTTTCATGCCAGTGGATGGATGGGATATGGGTGGGGGAGGGGAATGGTAAGGAAGAAGAAGGAAGAAAGAGAACCCCGGGTAGGAAAGGGGAGAATTAGGGTTGGAGAGACAAAGCAGATGTGGCATGGCTAGAAGGCAAGGTACCTTTTGAATGACCAAAGGGTAATGTTTCTTCTGGATCTGCTGCATCATCCCACAGCCTGCATCCTTGCGTATGGCCTGAGGTACTTCAACCTCATTTCCTCCAGCCTGATTAAACTGAAGTACCTGGGATAAGAATTAGAAGAGAGATGGATCCAGAGAAAAAGAAGCACCACACATTGTCTATTTTAGTTGTGTGACTTCAATAATGAGAATTTCTGGGCTCTGGAAGACAGAGGCATGGAGCTTTTTCATGTCAAGGGGAGACATTTGATGAACCTCCAACAAGAATGTTCTAGAGCCAACTTTAACTGGGGAGAGACAATTGTTAAATTTTCAGTGCGAGCATGTACACCATAGAAATTAGCAAATGCTGCAAATCAGGGTTTGGTTTATTGTTTAGTTGATTGTTTAAACTTAAAGAAGTGATGGAAAAATATTAATAATGCAAATCAAACTTAAAGGTGTGTTGTGTGTACATTTTCTTTTTCCTAGAGAGATAATTGTTAAACATTTACCAGCACACCCTTGCCCTCAAATCACGCTTTATAGAGTTTGGCCCACTGCTTTTTGCATTGGGACTGGTTCTGTTCCCCTCTCCTCTTGGGTTCCTTTTCCTACTTCAACAAAAGAAACAGTTCCCCTGAACAGCAACTGCTTCTGACTGGAATCAGAATTCTCTTGGGCCACACGGAAAATAGATTAAGAAAAGTACCTGGATGATCAGAAGAATAGTAAGTCATCAGTAGCTGAGCCGGCCCCTAGGCCATCACAGGCCACAACCTTCCCTAAGTCTTTGAGGCCCCAAACCTAGAAATAGAGCAGACTTTTCCTGCTCCCTTCTCCTCATCTACCGCTTCCATAAAGTTGTCTACTCAGTGGACTTTAAAAAAAAAACTCCCTTTTTCTCTTTTGTAGGGAATAAATGAGACCAATGATGTTCAAATGTAGAAATAATTCTTTTCTGGAAATTAAAAAATGCCTCTCTCATAGAGTTTGTCCCAAAGATCTCAAACCCTTTTTGTAATCACTGACTAACTGTAAGGCAGAGAGGTTGTGGCATGTCCAAGTTGAGTCAATGCTTAAGGCTAACTTAGTAACAGAACCTTATTTTCCTTTTAATCACTAGATTATTTCATTCAGTACTTTCTCTGCCCTTCTTAAAACTTGCTCTGATTGAGTAAAGACAGTAGAACCAAGAAGAAGATACATGAATACAATAATGTAAATAACACTAAAAAGCATGCAAGCATTGATAAATTATAACAAACAATATGAGTCCTAGAGACTTAAGAAGGAAATTCACTTTTTTTTTTCTCAAATAGAAAGATAGTAGCTATGAATGTAGAGAAGGTTATACAATGCACTAAAAATCACTTAAGCAAACAAAACAGTTTACACATCTGACTCACTTGTGTGCCACAGAGGTTAAGGAAAAAAATGAATGGTTAAAAAAAGGTAACAATAATATTTTTTCAAGATTTTAAAATTGTACATATTTTACTCTGACTGATTTTAACATTGAAAATGAAGACCCTGATATTACTTAAGCATACATTATTTTCCGTTGAATTTCCTTATTTTTTTTTAAAGCAAAAAAGGGCTAAAGGGAAGAGACATTACACAATGTTAGTGGTGTAGGGATATTGTGCAAGTGATCTTTTTTGCAATTCCCTCTATTTAACCCATAGCAGACACAAAAAAGGATTAAGTTTCAACACAATTAGATGGGTAGGGTGCGTTCTAAATGGGTCACCGTAAACCAGGGGGAAATTATTTTCCAGGAGCAGTATGTTGTATTCTAGGAAAGAAGCAGGGCTGAGTTGGAAATGTATCCGATGTAGATGGAAAATCTATTCCTTCAGTTGAAAGAGTGAAATAGGTAAGTTTCATGGTGCATCTGTAATTATTAATGTGTTAATTAGGTAACCCATACGGGGTAACAAAGTCAGACACGCCTGAAAAATGGCCAAAAAACAACTAATGAGGTAGCGTTCATGCTTGGGTCACTAAAGCAGAAAATGGTAGTGTTGATTCCAAGTCATCCAAACCACACCCTACAACATATTGGTAGTTAAGCCGATTGTGCCCCTGTTCTCTGTGCTTAGGCCAAGTTTGCTACTTAAGGCTGTGTCTGCTCACCAGGACAAAGAAATAACGAGCCTGAAACAAAATTCTGTCAGAATGTTGCCTAGAGTTCACCCTAGTTTCCTTCTCAATAAAGAGGACATAAAGCTACCTTCCCTCCCTGCTTCTTAAGGTGGTGAGAAGGGTCAAGTAATGGAATCAAAGAGAAGTCATCCGTATACCAACTCCTTTCACCGATGAGGAAGCTTAGGTCCAGGGAGCTTGTGACTTGCCTATGGTCACACCATTAGCTGCAGAGTTGGTACCTCGTCTCCTGACTCAACATCTTGGGCACTTTTCACGACAGTATAACATTAACAGATAATAAAAGAATTTTACCCAAAATAAAGCGTTATAAGATAAAAAAATATTATCATATTCATGGACCTAAGCAACAGGATGAAAAGACATGAATGAAATGCATTTCATCATCATTGCATACAGCTTTGGATGGAGTGCCTGAACTAAGGAGAGCAGAGGATCATAGACTAAGGGCTGAAAGAGACCCTACAGGCCCCTTCATTTTACAGAAGAGGCCACTGAAAACCAGAGAAGTGGAAGAACTTGTCCAAGGTCACACAGGGAGTAAACAGCAGGGCTGGGATTTGAAATCAGGTCCTCTGACTCCAAGTAGAGCATTCTTGACATTGCAGCATTCTGTTTCTCAATGGATCTCACATTAGTTAAAATACTTAATTATTAAAGAAATATTTTTTAAAAACCCATCGATGAGCTAACTATTCAACGTCAGGCTTTTCTTGTATTATTTAACATGTTTCAGGGCACATGGCTATAGCTAGGGATGTGTTGGTAAATGTTTGACAACTAGCTCTTTGAGAAAAAAAAGTTCCACACGACATACTTTTTAAGTTTAATCTGCATTATTAACATTTTTTTTCTTCTCCTTCTTAAGTACAAAGAATCAACAAAACAAGGAATCAAACCCTGATTTACAGTGTTTGCCAAAATCTGAGGTATAAACACTCACACTGAAAATTTAACAATTGGCTGTCATAAGCAGGTTTGAGCTGGCCCCAGCACATCTCTGGATGTAGCTGAATATTTGTAATCATAAGGTAAGCAACAATAGTGTTCTACTTTATCAGTATTTTATGATCACCAGCTTTATTTCATTTAGCCTAACCTTCTTGTAAGGTGATAGTGGCTTTGTTATTGTATGTGGATCATACAGCCATGAGAAAACACACCAGAAGCCAAACCTACCTTCGCCATCTGGTCAGCCGTGTTACCCTCAGCACCCATATAGATCATGGCTAGGGTGGATGAGATGCTCCAAGGGCAGAGGAAGACATTCTGATTATTATTTGTTCGATTCAGGTGCTTGAAAAAGTTGAGGGCAAATTCTGTGTTTGCTGGCTGCACGTTCTCCATTGTTTCAACCTAGGAAGGAAATGAGAGAGAAAGAAAACTTCAGAGGTGATTTTTTCGTTGTTGGTGGTGGCGATATCAACATACTACACGTACCAGACAGGGTCATGATGCCATCTTGACTGCTCGTGGGGTCATAGGATTAGCACTGTAAGGGGCTTTGGGGTTCATTTAGTTTAGCCCCCTGATTTAATAGATTAGAAAATTGAGTTTCAGAGAAATGAAATGAGGTCACAATGGTAGTAAATACTAGCAGAGCCAGGATTTGGATCCTCTCTGACTCCAACTTCTCTTTCCAGCTTCATTACACACGACTCCCCTCATGAGTTCTGGAATCCAGTCAAACCGGCCTATTTGCTGATCCGCTGATTGAAACATCTTCCCTTCTTACCTTCCTTTCTTAGAACCCTGCGCTCCCTTCGGGGATCTTTTCAAGTGCTATCGCCTGTAAGAGGCCTTTCCTGATTCTTCCCGGCTACTAATCTGTCTCCTCCAAATTACTTCCTACTTACTTTGTATAAGTTCTGTATTTACTTAGAGGCACACATGTCAACTGTATACATGAAAACTCTGACCCTGAATGATAGTTAAAGGATGGTCCTTTGATTCCAAAGCCAAGACTTTTCTCATCCCACCCCAGTGAGTAAGATTGTCAAAGTTGGGCATGCGTCACCTATGCTACTTTGGGATCAGAAGAGGCAGCATTGTCCGCAAGGGTGAGCAATGTGCTGCTTTGTATTCAACAAATATTTATCAAGTGTCTGCTATAGGCCTGGTCCTATGCTAAGTGCCAGAGATACAATGACAGAAGAGAAACAATATATGCCATAGAGAAACTTAAAAGTTCTAGTGGCATTGGGATTTGGAATCAGGTCCTCTGACTGAATTGAGCACTCTTGATAATGTACCATGTGGCCTTTCAATAGGTGTCACATTCATGGAAGTGTTTAAGTATTAAAGGAATATTACTAAAAATCACTCTTTACAGATTTACCATCATTCAGGGTCAGGATTTTCATGCATAGAGCTGACATGTATGTATCAAAGAAAGTACAAAATATATACAAAATAAATTGGAAGAAAAAAAATTGGGGGGAGGGCAGAGTGCACTAGGAAATGGAGAATCAAGAAAGGCCTCATAGGAGGTAGTATCTGAGCTGAACCCTGAAGGGATCTCAGGGTTCCAAGGCAGGAAGGTGAGAAGGGGGGGCATTTCATTCCTGGGGGTCAGCAAATAGGCCCAGCTGACCAGATTGTAATAGTGTGTGACAGTGCTTGAGGAGAAGCCATGTGTAATGAATCTGGAAAGAGAGGCTGGATTCAGATAGTGAAGGACTTTAAACGCTAAACAGGGGAGCTGGTATTTTCTCCTAGTAGCCCTGGAGAAACACCAACATTTCTTGATCATATGAGTGGCGTGGCCAATCAAAAACAATAGGATGTGCACACCTGAAGTAGACAGAGCAGTCTGTAAATCAAGGGAACCTGGGAAAATATACACCCGTCACCAGTTGTGGAAGTAAACACAATAGCATTGGACATGATGGCCTCCCTGGAACCTGTATCCTCCCCGTCAACCCCCATGGCTTGGTGTTCCCACAAGGATCTCCTGTCTACACAGAGTGCAGACAATGATGCAATACTACTCCAGTTGGCCCTTACTCATCACCCTCCATGAAGAGAGAGCCTTGGAGAAGGCATGGCCTCCATTTCACAGGATTATATAGTTAATAGGCATCCAATGTTTACATGGAACATGCTCTGATCAGACATATGATAACAGTCATACTCCATTGTAATTACAAAACATTTCTTAATAAATGATTTCTTAATAAATGTTTACATATACAATTTCTCCATCATTATGAAACCTCATGGAGATTGTTTCAAATACATAATACTCCCTCCTCTCAATGTACTTTTCACTTTCAAAGAAATTAAAGACTGGATTTATGATTTCGTTGATTTTTGGGAATTGCTTTGGGAGGAAATTCCCTTCAGCAATGCAAGTCATACCAGTTAACTCTTTTTCAGAAGCTGATAGTCTTAGACAGAATTGCGAAGATGGGTTTGGTGACTTGCCCAGGGTCATACAGCCAGTATGGGTGGGATATGAACCCAGATCTTCATGGCTTTATAGATAACTCTAATTTCTCATGTCACACCACCTGTCTTTTACCTTCAAATTCAAACTCAATGTTTTCATTCTCTTTCCACTTTTCTTGGAATTATGCCTTATCCCAGTTTTCCAGGCAAGTGGTACAACAGAACACTGGACTTGGAGTCAGGAAGACCTGAGTTCAAATCCTCCTTCAGACCCTTACTAACTGTGTGACCCTGGGCAAGTCACTTAACCTCTTTCATTGTCATTTTCCTCATCTGCAAAATGGAGGTAACAGTACTGTCTACATCATGGGGTTGTAAGTATCTGAGATAATTGAGATAACAGATATAAAATACTTTTCAAACCTTAAAGTGCTATATGTTAGTTCTCATTCTTGTTGTTAATATGTTAGCTTAGTCTTGACTAAAGGTACTGACTGCTTGCATCTGATCTCCTCTTGATTCCCATCCACCCATTTCCCTGCTACCTCTCCTTTTGTCACTGAGTCGAACCTGCTCCCGGACCTGCCTTCAGACTGACCCTTCACCCACTTCAGCATTGTCTCAGACTCCTTCTCTGAGGTTGCTTCCATATCAGACTGAATGCTCTTGGATAAAGTGCTGGGCCTGGAGTCAGAAAGGCTCACGTTACTGAGTTCAAATCCAGCCTTAGACACTTCCCGGCTGTGTGACCCTGAAGCAAGCCACTTAACCCTGCTTGCCTCAGTTTCTTTACCTGTAAAATGAACTGGAGAAGGAAATGGTAAACCATTCCAGTATCTCAGCCAAGAAAACCCCATATGGGGTCACAGAGAGTCAGACATGATCTAACCGACATTATTTCAGCTGTAGCCCTGCTCCACAGCATGGACCCCAAGGCCAGCCCTGTGGAGGGCATCCAGTGGCTACACACACACCTACTCACACTTAGCAAACTTACAAACTGACACAGACACACCTTGGGTGTGTCTATGGTGCAAGGTGTGGCTGAATGCTTCCACATGCCTAAGGAGTGTGTCTCTATATTGGCTGGTGAAAATATCTATACCATCTGTATGGCTAATGTGCTTACATAATGGCTTTTACAAAAAGCCACCCTACAATTACTAAAGAATACAAATACACCAAACGAAATGGACACTGATTTTCCCAAAAGAAATATTTCTCCAGTGACAAGTTTCACAGAACTCAGGTGAGGTGTGGGAGAAAATGCCCCAGGGATGCAGAAGATCTTGCAAATATCCCAGCCCTGACAATTGCTAGGTGTGTGACTGTGACCTCAACCTCTTAAGCTTAAGCTTCCTGGTCTATAAAATAGGCTTACTAGGGAGAAAATGTGATGTAAACTTTCAAGCAATATGTAAAAGTGAATTGTCATCCTTTAAGCTTTCTGCTGGGAGGCAACATGGCACATCATACTAGTTCAGCCATGTCTGATTCTCTGTGACCCCATTAGGGGTTTTCTTGGCAAAGACATTGGAATGATTTGCCATTTCCTTCTCCAGCTCATTTTACAGATGAGAAAACTGAGGCAAACAGAGCTGGAAAGCTGGCCAGGAAACTAGGCAGACCTGGATTCAAGTGAGGCTGGTGACTTTGCATGGAATCCAATCCACTTGCAAATCATGGCACCACCTTCCCAATGTCATGGTCCTCTTCAAGAATGAAGGACAAACAGTAACAACAATAATATACCGAGGCAATGTGCATTTCTCAGTGTTCTAGGCAGCTCAAAGGAAGTACTGAGGGGCAGCTAGGTGGTGCAGTGAATAGAGCACCGGCCCTGGAGTCAGGAGGACCTGAGCTCAAATCAGGCCTCAGACACATAACACTTACTAGCTGTGTGACTCTGGGCAAGTCACTTAACCCCCATTGCTTCACCAAAAAAAAAAAAAAAAGTCCTGACCTGGATTGGTAAAAGGAATTTCCTTATCCAGGAGCACCTTATACTGAGGAAATCATACATCTAGTTCCTATCCCTATGCCTTCATTAACATTATCTTTCTGTCACTCTTCTCTGTAATCAGCAAGTAATCTCTCTAATCTCCTTTTAATTTCCAACATGGGAAGTTTTTTCTGATTCTAAATAGGGAATGAAATCCTCACAAGGAGGATTTCCCTCATGAGGGAGTGAGTCCCTTAACTGAGGAGTTCAGCAAAGGCTAGATGTTGCTGTTGTTGGTGGTGGTGGTCCTTTGTTCTCGAAGAGAACCAGTTACCCGTTGGATGAGATCTTGTACTAGAAGACAACTCAGGTTCATTTCACCCTAAGGCCTGTGATTCTTTAAATTCTTCTTTGTGTGTCTCTGTTTCCCACAGATTAAAAAAGTGGCAAAATCTCTATTTAAGAAGAATCTCTTACAAATCTTGTTTACAGGGTTATTTTTGGAGCAAGGGCTATTCTCCCTTTTATAGAGACAGGGACAATTGAAGGTACTCTCAGAGTCATAGAATTTGAGTTGGAAGGGACCTCAGAGGTCACTTGACCCAACTCTTACCTTTACAGAATCTGTTCTACGTTAGACTGCAAAGCAGCCAGGTGGTACCGAAGAAAAAGCGCTGATCCTGAAGGAAGGTAGACCCGAGTTTAAATCCTATCTCAGGTACTTGCTAGTTTTCTGACCCCCAGGAAATTATTTAAACTGCACCTCAGTTTTCCCATTTGTAAGCTGGGAATAAAGCACCTGCTTGCCAGGATTGTTTGTGAGAATAAAATGAGATAATATTTGTAAAATGTTTGGTAAACCTTAAAGTGCTATATGAATAGTAGCTATTAATAACCCGGACAAGTGATCACACAGGCCCCACTTGAAGAATGGGAAATACTGAGCCTAGAGTCAGGAAGAACTGAGCTCAAATTTGACCTCAGAAATTTACCAGCTGTGTGACCAAGCTGTCTTGGGCAAGACACTTAACTTCTGTCTGCCTCAGTTTCTTCAACCTTCAGATGGGGGTAATAATAGTGTCTACCTCCTGGGGTTATTGTGAGCATCAAATGAGGTAATAGTAAAGTGCGTAGGACAGTGCCTGGCACATAGCAGGCATTTAATAAATGCTTATTTCCTCTTTTCATCCATTCTGCAGCTGCCCAATTCCACTTTGGGACAGCTCTCATTGTCAGAAGTTTTTTGTTATCTTGAGCCAAGAAATACAGGTTAAGTCACATTACTTACTCTAGGCCTCAATTTGCTCATCTACAAAATGAAAGGATTGGACTGTATGTTCTCTAATTTCTTTTCTGGCTATAAAGCCTACCACGTCCCACGATCTAAAGTCTTAATACAAATTGTCTTAATACAAAGATTTATTTTGCATAAATATAGTGTGGAAACCTAATAACTACAAACGTTTAGGAGCTTGAGCACAGAGGTCCCTTGTAATCCCATACAAAGCATACCCTCTCTTGGTCAGGACCACATGTCTAAGTCACTACTGCCGTTGTAAGCCCAGAATGTGGCAGTTTTGTCTGGTTTTTGTGGGACTTTTCAGCTTAAATGCTAATACCATAAAGTTAGTTACAGAGGAACAACAAATGGTATCAAAGCAGAAAATGACTGTTGTTAATTTCTCAATGATGTAATAAATAGATAATACTTTCATCCTTAGATGACAAACATTTGGCTGGTAATTAATGTTGTCCTTGGAAAAGACATTATTATAGAATAAATATTATCCTTGGAAATAACGAGAAGAAATAGTTTTCAAATAGCTTGAATTTGTTGTCGCTCCTGCTAGTTCTCACACATGACAGAAGATCCCTTAGGCCTTGGCAAGGCTATCAGATATCAGAATCTGATCAAACCCTAAAAACTACAAACTCTGCCCATTGCTCCACCCCCTTTTACCTAGATCCATATTAGTCATGGGAAGGCATCTGTATTTTTTGTTACTGTACGATAGCAACACATAGAGAATGAAGCCAAAATAAAGAACTGGAAAACAAGATGAAGAGGCTTATTTTTTCAAATAAATCTTCTCCTAACTAATCACCACATTTCATCCACACCCAAAAGGAAAAAGAAAAGCAGTTATGTCTATTTGGTACTTTGCATGATGGAGAATAATTGATGGATCAATATGGAGCCATAGTTTAGAAGCAAATGGTCAGTTCAGTCAGTCAAATAACTGGTCAGCGCTGTCAAATGACTCGTAAGAATATTTCTCCCCTTATCTGATGAATCCAGTTCCTTAAATGAATCAACATATTTGGGAGTCTTGTTGACAGCACCATTTCTAAAGAGAATTCCCTAACTCCTCCGCATTGCAGTCACCAATTAATAATGAAAGTTGAAAACTAACGAAGCTTCACTGATGAAAGTTACTGATGGAAGTTCATTCTTTCCATTCAAAGCACCTTTGAGATATTCAAATTTGCTTAAAAGTGAAGTCAACTGAAAACAAAAATATCCTTATTCATAGTTTTGTTGCTTTATCATAGACTACATCTTCTCAAGAAAAGATACAGTTTTATTTGGGTCATATTCATAAGAATATGGAGTCACATACAGATGGGATTTTAAATACTGTCAAATCCAACTCTCTCATTTTACAGAAAGGAAAAATGAGGCCCAGGGAGGTTGAATAATGTGTGCAAAGCCACACAGGCAGTAAGTGCCTGGGTCAAGACTTGTACCCAAGTCCTGCGACTTGGAATTTAGCACTTTTCCTCCCATTCCATATTATTTATAGTCATTAAATAGAGAACCATAAACAGATGCTATTTCAAGATATACTCCTAATTTGTCCCGTGGAATCAATTGAACATCTTGAATATAAATTTAATTTAAAAATTCGTAGGAATGCATTCTGGCTCTTAATGATTTAGCAGGAAAAGTCTTAATCTGGAGTCTATAGATATAGGATTTTTTAAATTGATAATTAAATTTTAATATAGTTTGTTCCCTTTGAAATCCTATGTGTTATATTTCATATATATGAAAATATTATTCTGAGAATAGGTTTCTCCAGACTGCCAAAGGGGTCTATGACACAAAAAAGTGAAGAGCTAGTCCTAAAAACTGTTAAAATATTAAACTAAAATATTTTCCTTTCCTTTCAAAAGCTTTTTAACTGTCATTTGATTTCTCACTAAATGTTCCCCTACGTTTCTATCTTCAAAATATTAGTAATACTAGTAAGAAACCATAGTGAAAATGAAACCCCACTTCCCATAAAAATAGTCACAGGAAAAGTTACCATACCTTTGAGACCGAGGTGCTGTTTGCTTGACAGCTAAAGTTTCTCTCTGGCTTACTCCAGTTTACATGCAGGTTTTATAGTTCATTCTTGCCCCTCCCAAATTGCTTTTCCATTTTTTTCTTTATCATTCAGAGTGATTCAACATTTTACTCAGAAGGTCATCAGTAGAATAGTAAGGCTTATCTGTATAGAAGCAGAAACTTGAGAAAGCTATTGGGAAAGTGACATCATGCAGAAACTTTGGAGTTTGGCAATAACTATACAAGTTAATCAAAAGAGGCTGGAATGTTTCAGCAGCTGAGGCTTTCTCATTCTAGGGTACCCCTTTCAACCTCTCCTCCCTTATCAGAGGGACACCACAGTAAACATGTGGTTGTTCTGTACTTTTTAGAAACAATGGTCTCATTTCTCTCTTATTCGGGGGTGGGATGGAGCCTAACCACCCTTGTAAGCTGGAAATAGAAGGGTGGATAGTCTGTCTCATTTCTTATCTTGAGTAAGAACACTGTGTGAAACTCCCAAAGACTCAAGTAAAATTATTTTAATTCATAGTTTTATCCTAAGCTTAGTTTACATCTTCTCAACTAAAAATATGTCTAAGGCCAAGCAGTATTTCAGTGACATCATTCACTGGCCTCTCATGTAGGTAGACCTTGAATGCTTTTATTTATTTTTCCTCACTGAAGCTTAGACTTTAATTGCTAATAAACTGTTCTGTTCAAGAGCTAATTTGTAGTCCAGATAACTTGAGGAAGAATTTAAGAAGCATTTAATATTAACCAGAAATTAAGATTTCAAAATTTGACTCACAATTCCCTAGATATGTGGTCATATATCCTTTTAAGGTATTTTAAAGCAAACAAAATTAGCTGGATATGGCAAAAATGTAACAGGAAACTTTAGAATTTCTCTTTGCTTAGGGACACCATTGTTTGGATATTTTTGTCAGGCTCCCCTTTGTTTTACAGACCACCTTTCTTTTATCTTCACTGAAGGATGGCCACGATTGATACTGTCATGACAGAGAGGATATCTCAAAAGCCAAGAAACAGAGTGAGGAACGAACATAGAGGGCTTGAGACATAATGGACATCAATTTGACTGGAACAGGGTGTACCCATGTTGACGAGTAATGAAAGGGTAAGGTTGCATAAATAAAGCAAAGCTTAGCACACAGAGGCCCATGAATACCAGGGTGAGTTTAGTACCTGGGGTGACTCTATAGGTTCTTGAACAAAAGAGTGTCATTATGGAAATGATGTTTTAAGAAATTAATCTAGCAAATTCCTTAAGGGAAATGATTCTAGTCTTAATTTGCTTCTTCTCCCTACTCCTTACCTAGGACAATGGCTTATAAACATTAAGTGCTTAAAATGTTTGTTGACTCAATGAATAAATTCGGTTCAGTTTGATTATAGCATTAAATACCTACTATATGCAATGAACTATGCTAGGTAGGTCCTGAAGATAAAAAGAGAAAAAAACAACAGTCCTGGTGCTCAAAGGCCTTACATTTCACTGGAGGATTCATCTGTACACTGAGGAGTAAATGTAGGAGAATTTGATAGAAAATGGAGCATAAATGGGGAAGGGGGTGTGAATCAGGAAAGGCTCCACAGAGAAAGAGATTCCCAACTACAGCCAGGAAGGAAGATAAGGATTCTGAGTGAGGAAAAAAAAATGAGGAAAGAGTTCATTAAAAACACGCAGGTCAACCTTTATGAGGGATGGGGATTGCAGAGGTCGGGGAAAAGCTTTACTGGATTGTCAAATGTATGAACGGGAGTAAGGTGAGATAAGGCCTAAAAAGAAGGATGAAGCCAGAATATGGAAGGCCTCAAATGTCAGTGGGGGGAATTTGTATTTCCTCCACTCAAAGAGCTTTTTTTTTTTTAATCGGGAATGACAGAGATTTTTTTGGTTTTGTTTTGAGTTTTTTGGGTTTTTTTTGTTCTTTTTGTGTTTTTGTTTTTGGTTTGTTTGTTTTTTTATTTGGAAACTGTGTGGAGGGTAGATTAGAGATAGGCAACATAAAAGTAGGGAAAACAATTAGGAAGTTATCATAGTAGGTTAGGCGAGAAGGAATGGAGGCTTGATCTAGGCTGGTGGTTGTAAAAGTAGATATAAGGGGATTTTAAAGAAGTATAACTGGAGGAATTTACCAGGTGATTGGATATGGGGGGTGAAGGAGGGAGAAGAGTTACAGTTGACTCTGAGATCACTAACCTGGGTAACTTGGAAGATAGTGGGACACTCAACAGAAATAAGTATAGAGGAGGTTTTAGAAGGAAAGTTGATGTGCTCTGTTTTTCATGTGTTGTTTGCAGGTAAGATATTCTGATGGGATGTATGGTTGGAGCTATTTTATAGGCAGTTTATCATTGTAGGATTGGAGTTCAGGAGAGAGATTAAGATTCAATATCTAGATTTGGGAGTCATCTGCAGAGAGATGATACTTGGACCCTTTGGAATAAATAAGCTCACCAAAGGAGAGAGCATGGAGAAGGAAGAAAATAGAGTTCATAGCATAGTCATGGGGGACACTCACTTTTAGGGGATGGTGATAGAAGAGGAACTAGCAAAGGAGATTGAAAACGAGTCATTTGACTGTTAAGAGAAGAGAACAGTGTCATGGAAATCAAGTGAGGGGAAAGTATCCAGAACACAGAGATGGTCAACAGTGTACAAAGCTGAAGAAAGTTCAAGGTGAATGAGGATTGAGAAAAAGGCAACAAATTTAGCAATGAAGGGTACATTGGTACCCTTCAAGATTTTCAATAGAGTAATGAACTTGGAAGCTAGAATGCAAGAGTTGAGGAGCAGATGGTAAGGAAGAAGTACCAGGTGACTTTTTCTAAGAGTTTGAAAGTAAAAGAGAGCAGAGTTATAGGAAAAGAATTTGAGGGGATGGCAATGTCAAGTGAAGTTTTTTTATGTAAAAATGTGCTTCCTTTAGACCTCAGCAGAGTTAAAAGTCAAAAGAAGTGAAAGCAGAGAAATTAAATTCTTAAGGAAAAGCCCTTTTAGATGCAAGGGGCAGCTAGGTGGTATAGTGTATAGAGCACTGGGCCTGAAATCAGGAAGGCTCATCTTGTCGAATTCAAATCTGATTTCAGACACTTACTAACTGTGTGACCCTGGGCAAGTCACTTAACCCTGTTTGCCTCAGTTTCCTCATCTGTGAAATAAACTGGAGAAGGAAATGGCAAATCACTCCAGCCAAGAAAATCCCTACTGGGATCAAGAAGAGCCCTTCTGAAATGACTGATGAACAACAACAATCTTTCAAATATAAAGGAAGCACTCTGTCTCTTGGAAAGAGCTGAAAGTTTGAATAGCTCACCTGCATATGAAAAGACTATCAGAGACAACAAACTAGGGCACAGATAGCCATTATTCCCAATCACTTTCATCAACATGAGACCCCAATAGGAATAAGGAAAAGTGTACCTGGTGGGTCACCATAATTAGAGTACATCACTGAGAGAACTCGCTATGAAGCGGCAAAGAATCGTCAAAGATTAGAAGCTAGACCTTTCTCATCACATGCTTGGAGATGACATAGCTTACTGCCGATGTTAAAAAAAAAAAGGGGAAAGGTATCTGTCAATCACACACACATATATGCATACATATACACATATGGATATATGGATATATATGTATACACACATTTATATCCTCAAAAGTAGGATAGGATAAAGACGTAAGAGTGTTTTTTTTTTTAATTTACCAGAGTAGAAAACTTTGAGAAAAGCAACAAGATTAAGCTGTTAGAAATCTAAGGACTAGGATGTATATAAATGAACAGCTTCCAAAATGTTTCAAAATGGGACATACCAGTTTTGAGTATGTTTCAGAAATAAGGTCTGAAAATATTTGGATTAAGGGTTTTACATGTAAAATTGTATTAATAATTGTGAAGAATTTTAAAATCATATTTCTTTTCCTATTTTAAAGTATCTGTATGATAATATTAAGAGACAGAAGTGCTAATTTGCCAAGTAAGGACTTCACAGATCCCTTTCACAAATAGGATTAGATCCATAAAGTCTGAACAGGTTTTTAACCACACGAACTAGTTACTGAAAGACTAATCTGATTAGATTTTGTCACAGTTTACTAAATTATACAGTCTTATCACTAGCAGGACTTAGCAGCATTATCTAAAGAATCTCCACAAGTGACCCGGAACCTGGAAATGTCTGAGGAAATACCTTCCCAGACCTGCCCTGATCCATTTTGAGAGATGTACAGGAAGTACTTGCCAGAAGATCATGAATGCTGCAAAACGACTCAGCACCCCTGTAGCTACTGCTATACGGGGTTTCTCTATTCACCTGTTGTAACTTTGCTCCTTATGTTAGTCTTGTGTGTTTTATGGACGTGTAAGTTGCTTATCATTTCTGCGTAGACTGATGCCAATGCAGGGATTGAAGGTCTTGTACTGAACATTTGCCAGTCATCATGGTTTGCCCATGGTGTTTATGCAGAGGCCCTTCATTAAGAGCTAGTGAGGTTTGATGGGATGAGCTCAGTGGTATGCAGTATTAAAGATAGAGAATATTTGAGTTTGTCTGCACACAGCACAGAAGGAAAAATAGAATAATACAACCAGAACAGAACAAATGAAGTTGAGGGGATGAATCGTTAATGAGAAAGGTTAGAGGAAGCTGAGGAAGGGATGAGATCAGGGGCATCAGTAGAAGGGTTGAATAACAATTCAATGTGGCCATTAGAAAAGATGGCATGTCCTGATTATAAAAATTAATGGGGGGTGGGGAGTGGGGAGGGAAGAGTCAAGGATGACAGTGAGGTCACAAATCTGTGTGTCTGGATGGATGGTGGTGTCCCTAACTTCTAGAAATAGGAGAGATTGAAGAAAAGTAGGTTTAGGGGGAAAACAATGAGTTTGATTAAGGCACATTTATTTTGATGTGCCTATGGGATATCCAGTTTGATTTGTCCAACAGGCAATTGATTGTATGTTACTACAACTCAGGAAAGAGAGTGGGGGTGAATATAGATCTAGGAGTCATCTGTGTAGAGATGACAATTAAACTCACAGGAGCTGATAAGTTCACTATGTGATAAAGTTTAGAAAGATGA